GGGGTAAACTGTTTCGATACTGATCCTGAATATTATTTTCAACCTTTACATACAGAAGCAGGACATTTTGTTTAGCCTTCTGCTTATATTTAAGCTGTAGCCAAAACAAACAAACAAACAAAAAAACCCCACAATTTACTCACAGTTGGTAACTAAGCTATACTGATATAGCTTGTGGCCAAGGGGAGGGAGGTGGAAACCCAAACCTTTGTGTGGTTTTCATGTTGTGACAGAAGGTTTGTTTCCTAAGCAAAAAAAATCTCCAAAGAGACTGTTATTAGAATTGTGTATTATGGTATGTCACAGCATTCAGTTCCACCCAGTTCACAGTTTCATGTACAAAGAAAACCAACAAAAGTGGCAGTTTTGTTCAGATAGTATGTCCCCCACTGTTTCCAGTGACATCTATAAGCAGAAGATGCACTTCGGTCACTTCGGTCGAGACCTTGATTACATCTAGCTGTGGAAGTGGTGAAGAATTTATCATCACAAGTCAAGTAAGATGTGACTTCAAAAAGAGTAAAACGAGGGACATTAAGGCACAGTATTTTTTTGTTTGTTTGTTCAGTAAGGTACTGCTTCAGTATCTTTCAAATTCAGAAAATATTTCATCCCTGTTTAGTTTTATGCATGAAGAGCCAGGGGAAAACTGGTGAGAAAGGAGAAATTGAGCACAGTGAAGAAAATTCTTACAGCTTCTGCATCTACAGCCTTAGTGACACAGTTTAAAGTGCATTTCAAACCCCAAAGCCAGCTTACAGATGTGCAACTGCTTGGGTTCAGAACTTAGCTTGAATACCCAGGCTGCGTTCAGTCAAATACGTAATTGTGTTTAATGCATGCTTCTGTAAAACCCATATATCTTGAAAGAAAGCTTAACCATCTCTCTCTTTTTTGCTGCTTCTGCAGGAAACTATGCCCCAGACGCCAATATTTTCCAGCATGCTTGGTTCCAGTTGTAGTGGACAAGTGCAGCCAGATATGGGAGACAGGTGTGTGGACCCTGTTTATCAGGATGGGAACCTTGTTTCTGGATCATTAGAGGCCTTGATAGAGCGCCTGGTGCCCACCATGGACTATTATCCAGATGTAAGTAGCCACCAAAGGGTTTTGTTTTGGTTTGGTTTTTTTTGGTTTTTTTTTTTTCCTTCGAATGGTTTTTCTCCATTAGTATCTGGGTTGGTGCTTCCTCAAGAAATTCTACCTCCATCTGATTCAAGATTAAGATGTAGGCTAAAGATGCATTTATTTTACTTGCAATATTCCTTCACTAAAGATGTTGCTCAGTGGGGATACTCTCCTTTCTGTTTTTAAATGAGAACACTTGTTAGAAAGATAAAGCCGCTTGAACTCAAATGGGTGCCTTAAGAACCAATTAAAAGCAGCATTAGCCATAGAATTTTCAATCCCTCTAAGCTGCTTTAGCTCTAATGCAGTCAAGATTAACTACTAACCAGCTCCTACCTAGGATAGCAGAACTGAAATAAGCTCTAGTATTATTATTTTTTTGCCTTTTATTTGTATTTTCTCTACATCTCCTAGTTAGGCCATCAGAAAAACAAACAAAACAAAACAACAACAAAAACAAAAAATAGGTTTTAATTAAAATGCTCTCTTCCTCAAGACATTTTAATGGGCCAGAACTGTAATAATATATGTTCCCGAGCCTGAAAGTGATTTTGCAACTGATTAAACATCCTCAGTGCAGTCCACTGAAGTATACATTACTTTTAACTCCAGGGCATGAAAGAAGATTCTGAATGTATGATATTATTAACAGATCACTTCATCACTTAAAATTACCCCATGCACCCGTTAATGAAAGATGTTGTTTAAACAAGTTGCCAAAGATCAGAGAGGCTATATAGTATCTGTTCCATTTGAGCTCTGAAAAAGTGGCAGCTATGGCAGAAGCATCCCAGCAGGTTCTAAAGACTAACAAGGGGGCAGGAAATTGCAATCACTGTTAACATGTATGTTGAACTTAAGACTTGCAGCACTGGGCCATGCTGTGTCTTGTACGTTTCTCAGTCTAATTCATGTAGAACTTTTTACTGTGGTTTCACATCAGTCACAATAAAGTCCCTCCAACCTTCCACATATACACCGCCCTTGTTCACAATTGCCATGCACAAAACAGGGACTCCCCATGGGAGAGTTTAGTGGGTATAAGCAACAGAATTGCCAGGAATCATCAGTAGACAATTAAAAAGCAAAACCAGGATGTTTTAATGTTCCAGTTCAAAAGTAATCCTAAACCTTGCATTTAAACATGGCTAACATACAATTGCGCTGCCTTTGACAGACGCTAACTTAGTACCAAGTCCTTTATAAGACACCGAGGGATAACTGTTGTTAGACATTAAATCTCTGCTCCCTGCCCCCAAATACATATTGTAGAACAGATGTGCAGAAGCAAGCAGCAGGTAGAGCTGCTAATGCATACCACTGGAATAGCTGTAGGCTGCTGTAGTTAAGCCTTCCAAGGAGTCAGTTCCTTGTCTTTTGTGTGGTACTAGAGTACAGTTACTTGCTGCTTGGATTTCTGGAATATAGCTAAGGTTTTTAAATAGCTGCTAATGTACATTCCTTATTGTAACTTGTAACATAAGATCTATTTATAACACAGCTACTCTGAAAATGGTTCCATAAAGTGAGCATTACTTCAAGGGTCTACAACTTATTTTGCAATGCTGCTAGTTTCCATGGTGCTATCCCATAACCTGTGCAAGGGAGCATTACAAACCAAGCAATCATGGACCCCACCCTGGAAGGCTGCAGTTTAAACAGACAGCAAGCTGACAGCTGAGAGAGATACAACTGAAGCAATCAAGGGAGCTCTAGGGTAAGAGAGATGGAAAACAGCATTAAACCAAATTCATCTCCTCTACAGCAGGACACATTCTTTTAGTTAAATCAGATCACCCAATTCAGCTGAAAGAATTAGTTATAGAACAAGTAGATAAATAAGCTTTGAACAGCATAAAGAAGGAGCTATATTTGAGTTATCTTCAAATCCAGGTTTTCTATTTTAGTTCAGTTGCACGTTTATACATAATTTTATGCTCATTTCTGTTTTTAGGGAAGTTGCTACAGAGTGTTAGAGTGATAGCTGTTTACACTGATAACCTCAGAAGATTAGCCAATATTGTGTGTTCAAGAGAAAGGTATAAACACCTCTTAGTCTCATGTCTCTGTCTATACATGCGAAGAAAGGCAGGAAGGCATCACCAATTAATTCACACCAATAGAAGTTATTGGTAATGTTAGCAGAGATTACCTTAGTTTCAGAATGACCTAATGACTGAGTAAGGTGCAGTACTCATCCAAATTTTTGGATTAGTACATCTGAGCACAATGCTTAGAAGGCATTCCCGCTTGCATGGACATTAAGCCAAAGATCACAGTAACCTTCCAGATAGGAAAAAAACTCAGGGTGGGGAAGAAAGCAAACACAGAGTATTTTTCTGTGCTGGTTAGAGAGGCAAAACAAAAAAGCATTTGCCATGTTGGCAGTATGCAAGTCAGGCAAGGGAGGCCAGGAAAGATAAGGGCCTACACTTGTGTACTGCTTTTTTGAGGCTTATTTGTGTACAGGGACTTGCTCAACACATCGAAAAACATATACTCATGAGACGGAGGAGTTCGGAGGTTAGGAATGGAATGTACCAGTCTGCAACCCTTGTGCCCAAGCAAGAAAATGTTTCAAGAAAATTTCACAAACAAGAAGTTCCAGAATGAGCAGGCAGTGCACAAAGAAAATTTTTTTCTTTTTTTTTTTTTCTTCCTTGAGAAGACATCAGTGCATTCTTGGGTCAGAGAGTAACAATTCCTTCTTTAGTCTTGTGCGCTTGCGCACTTTTTTTTTTTTAAATATAATTCAGCTCATCTCTTAGCAACAACTTTAGGCACTAAAGGAATCTGGCTTCTTATTCTCTTGTAAAGCACAAGCCCCTTTTGTGTCAGCTTATGTTGTTCCAAGCACAGAAACTTTTTTTTTTTTTTGCTTGTTCTCCCAAATATCTCTCACTTTTGCAGGATAAATGGAGCTTAACTTTCAATCTCATAGCTTACAGAAGCATTTTTTAATCATTCTTTGTTAAACCAGCTAGCTTCGTAGTTAAATTTCCTTCTCCAAATCATCCTCTTCGTGATTAGGGAACTGCCTATGAGATAGTGTAGGTTTCTACACTGTTATAACATTTAGCCTGTATGTGTATAGTAGTACAGGTGCAACAAATCACAGAAATCCTTGCTCTAGATAAGACATATGACAGTAGTATGAAATGTTTCCTATGTAAACCAACTGTGTTTCTAGCCCCCGAGACCTACCGCTAAGCTGAAATATATGGTTTAGTTCAGACTAAATTTTCTTTATTGGATAGGGAGTGGCTATTAGCAGAGCAGCAAGGAGATGGGGGTCAATACTGCTGTCAGACCTATCATTTTTAGTTTGGTTCTTAATTGCAGTTACTCTTTGTTTATGCCAGCGTAAGCAATAAATATATCCAAAAACCCCCACAATTAGATACCAATATATCATAAACCAGCACATCTTGATTGACCATAATGGAACAATTTTGTTTTCCAAAGTACTGAACCTAGTTCCAGTTAAGTGACTTAAAAAATTGAATTAAAAATACAGTAGATGGGTTCCAGAAGTAATAATAATTGGTTTCTAAACAGTGGTCCAGGGTTGTCTGGAAAGGCACAACATGGGTCCAGTACAGATATTACTGATTACAGAAAGACATCAGCAAGTGTAAAATGGAAAGTATGCACTTCTATGGCCATGTATCTTCCTGCTTCTTGCCAGTTTAGCACTTTTTTGATTATCATATAAAACATTATCGAAGAAACCAAGTAAGAGTACAGGTTGTTGGGGTTGCACTTTTCTTGCAGTATAACAATAGGTAAATGATACTTTGAGTGGGCCTTTCTCAGAGTCACTCTGAATAAACACTGTCCCACACAAACTTCCACCAAGGAGACCAACACTATAATTAGTATGAGAGGCAAAATTATATCTTTCCTGAAAAGAACGTGTTCCAGTTTATGAGACTGAAGGTCACTGGCGGGGCAGTGTGGCTTAAGTTGCAGTTCCCTGCCACTTACACATAGAGGCATCTTTCAGACAGGCTTCTAAACTCCCAAAACAAGAATGTGGGGAAGAGATGAAAGCATCAAAGTCCGTAGTTGTTTTGTTGGGTGGGTGGGTGGTGGGGTTTTTTGTTTTGTTTTGGTTTTTTTAATTTGTTTTTTTGTGGGGGGGTTGTATTTTTTTTAAAAAATGTTCCCCATCTCTCTCAAATGCAAATTATGGTAAATTGAGGGCTGCTTCATGTTTCCAGAACAAAAATTTTCACACAAAGCAGTGACGGCTGACACACCCAACAGCTAAATTCCTTTCCCAGATAGTCCAGACTCATGGTTTTAAGTTCAGAGACAAAACTGATAGAAATGAACACAGAAGTTGGCTAAAAGAAAATAAAAGAGGGTAAGCAGGCATAGTTTAACACACAAACAAAAAAACCCCTAACCCCCAAACCCTCCCAAAAAATCTCACAGCCCAACACTATTCTTTCTCTTGCTTTTATTCTGAATGGGGAGTGTGTCAGTTTAGGGATCAGTCTCACATACATAAGAATAAAAGATCTGTTATGTTGTCCCATAACAACCAACTCCTGTTTTATGAATCAGGTTAGCTCTTCAGCCTAATCTTAGTGCCCATAGTACACCACACACACTATTATAGAGTTTCATAAAGCTTCTCCAAAGCTGACACAGTATCACCAACTGTTCCCAGATGCAGGTGCCAAGAGGTACATTGAATTTCTTTTTGAAATTAATGAACTTCAATTTTTTGTCACTGTAAATGTAAAAATAAACTCTGAAATTCCAGAGACAGACATAAATAAAATACCAAACAGAAGCCCAGTTTCTTAAATTTTCCCAATGTACACTTGTGTGGGATGTTTGCAACCACGTCATCCACAAAGAGGCCATGTGTCCTGTCGCTGCCCTGGCTGCCTGCTCGAAGTCACCAAGAGACCAATTGTTAGGTGGCCCCCACTGTTCATTTTCTGTAGGCATCAGGGGAAGCACTACTCAAGAACCTGACCCAAACTGTCCATCCAGTTAACCCTTCTCCTCCTTTCTTCCTCTATTTATATAAACAATAGACAAGGCAAAGACTATGGCTTAACTGCAGTTTTGATTGTACAGAATTAATGCTATTCCTAATTTAATACATGAACCCCAGTGCCAATATCTCCAAATCAGTATGAGTTGTTTTAAATGCCTCTGCTGTATCACACTCCGCTCTGTTCTTTATTAGCTTCCTCCACAAGATGAGACAGAGTTGATGTTTAATAGATAAATGCTTAATCTATTATACTGTTCACACACTCCCAAACACTGTGACTTTTAGTTAATCTTATTTATTTTATTAGGAAAAAAACCCCAAACACATCCCTTTTCCCCCTTCTGATATTTGTAGGGTTTTAGTGCTAAATTTATATTATAGGGCACGCTGAGTTCTAAAGAAATGGAAATACTTTTCACAGCACATTTTATTGTCAAACCCCATAACCCTTTTGGAGTCCTGAAGATACCATTATTGTCTAACTACAAGTGTGTTTTACAGTCTGCAAGCAGCAGAATTCAGTAGTTAATAGTAGAGATGCCATATCTTAGACAACTGGGCTTAGGTTTTTAGATGTCTTAATTTACCTGCCCAGTCCAAGGTGGTATATGCACACATTGACTATTTACATGCATACTTGCTGTGGCCTACCAGATCGCATTTCTAAAAACACAGTGCAAAGTCACAGTACACACTGCAAACGTAACAAAGGTTAATTGAAATCCATTGTCAAAGGAGGTCCTCTACAATTTCCTAACTCCAGAGTTCATCAAATAGCCTAAAGGAAAAATAGAAGTGCTTATGAAGTGCTACTGTCATTACTCAGGTAACTACATTCAAATACAGAAGCCATGTTTCAAACACTGAAGCAAGACTAGGGCATGAATGCATTCTCACTTCAACTAAACTGTCCAGAGTATGATTTGGAATACAATGCATTACAGCTTTTAAAATACAAATGGAGAGATTATTTCTAATGAGAAATAACAATTGTTGGCATTTATTAGCGATGTTCATACTCAAAAGACCCTGAAACAAATTAGTAAAGCCCCAAATAAGTAAAGCCAAACTTAAAATTAAATTACTGTCACATGGCTACAATCTAAGCTAAAGCATTCATCAATGATTGTGGTGAAAAAGGAACAAAAAACCCCATACAAAAAGAAATTACAGCTGTGGCTTGGAATACACAGGAAGCAGCTCAATGAAAAACAATCAGTCTTAGGAAAACAAAGCAGCAGAAACAGTAGTGTTCAAAAGGCGGAACACCCTACATTGGACTTACTTCATTTGTATTTTCGGTGAGCAACGACTAGGTAGGCATATTAAGTTTGGCATTTTAAAGGGAAATAATTTGTGAATCTGAAAACACCACAGTTAACGGCCTTGAAGCCTACAGCATTTCCTTTTAGCAGAGGATAGAAAAGACCACCACATCTCTGGGGTCAGGAAAAATTATAAGAAATTTGAATGAAGGAAAGTTACGTTTGTGGTTTACGGAATAGTTTTTTCAATGAAGAAATTATTTTTGCTAATGTTATTCAACTTTTTTTTTTTTTTCTCTCTGCTTCCACAGAGGACTTACATCTTCACTTTCCTATTGAGCTCACGAGTCTTCATTCACCCACACGAGCTCCTGGCTAAAGTGGGGCAGATCTGCATTAAACAGAAGCAGCAGCTAGAAACAGGAACTGAGGCAGAAAAGGTAAATGAACCATCATGTCCTTCAGTAGCTGTGCTACTGTTGTTTATTTCCCACTCTCACCTTCTCAATGTAAAGCTAAATAGATTGATGAAGAAGAAATTGAAATTGTAATTGGCATGTGTTACTGGATGCATTTTTATTCAGGTCTTTTTCCTTGAAGTGCCGTTGCTTCTTTGCTAGCTACAAGCATAGGTCATGTACTACCTTACCAGTCAGATACAGTGGCTGGAAATACAACTCTGCTCATGAGCTGCAGGTTGGTGCCATGCACTGGAGCAACGTGTACCTGCCGTGAAACCTGCCCAGCAAGTCACTTTGCACTTTTGGGCTCTCACCAAGTTAAGTCTTTCTCGAATCTGATTCCCTGTTCTCCAGTCACCATCACCATCCTATTAAGAGTTAAGTGCTCTGTTGTAGGTTATTGGTGGAGTGTTTTAAGTTGGTGTAACAGTAAATCAGAAAGTTGCCTCTCACAAAAATTAAGTGAGGCACTACTTAACACTGTAGCCTGTGCTGACACATGTGATTATGCAGTTTTACTACAACTGATTAAACCAAACCGGGTGAGCTTATGATACACACTTAAATCCGTCTAAGTCTTACCATTGTGGAAAGCGTGTATTGAAGGGCTTCTGACTGAAATTGAAGTACCAGAATAGTTCAAACCGGGATGCAAATAAGAGTGGTAGAAAACAAACACCAAAAGACCTAAATTGTTCAAATCCTGGGCATGTTTTGGATCGATTCTTCTATGGTGAGAAACTATATGCTCACATTCCTAATCTTCAGCATGTTTATAGTCCCATTTTGTTTTCTCCTTGGTGTATCAGCACTCTGAGTGCGGAGCACAAAAGGTAACCTCATGGTTTGGCAATACAGAGTTTTTGACAGCAAAACTGTCCTAAGGGCTTCTTCCCTTACTATTCCTGGGGTGCAGTTTCATATTATGTCACAATTTCCACAGGAAAAACTAACCACTTGGTGCAAAATAACTTTCATCCAGGTCAGTCCCCTGATCTACTCATGAAATAGCTATGTAACTCATCATGTAGGTGCTGGGGAATTCAAGGAGTCAAGGATTACACTGATAATTCAAGGGGTTAAGGTCAAGGGCTATGCTGATAACCATTCCTATTGCCACTGCCAAACTAGTTTGTGACTGGGCAATCTCAAACTGATGCTCTACATTGCAGTGGTTCTTTGGCAACATGTAACTAAACAACAGAGGTAGAAACTTGTAAGGGATGTTGGGACCATCTGAAACACTGAATGAGTAAAGCTGATCTGTGGACATAGGAAGAGGAAGACTGCTCTCAGTAGCTAGTGTCAAAATACATGTGATATACTTGGATTTACAAATAATGGGATATAAGATGAAACTTTTGTGAATAAGAATACACTTAGATTTTAAAATGAAAACAGTATCTGGGGACTAAATTGCTTGGCCATTTATAGACAAGATATCAGTCGTAAAGTAGTAGTACTCTGGCTTTTCAGCAGATGTGTTAAAAAAATCATGGCTCCTACATTGAAATGAAATAGCATAACATCCTAACAACAGGATGTAAAATAGAGCAGCTCATATTCCAAACACCCACGCTTTTACACTTTCTGCTGACAATTTGGAAATGAACCTACAGGAAAACCAACAAACAGCAGGGTGACAATAAAACACGAGTGTTTGGGAGGCTGCTTTAATTTACATGCTTTGCTGGTTGCTTTTCCTGCTATGCCCTTGATCCTTTCCTACCCCCTTGATGTAAACTGTAATATTTTCCTGCCCACTAAACAGAGAATTCTTGGAGAATACTACATAAACTTCTAATATCCCTTCCAAATGACTACTTTACTGTGCTCTACCCAGGTGTTTTACAGAATGGTTTGGCCACTAGCATTTGCAAAAATTCATTTTTTCATCTGGCAACAAATAAAAGCTTATTTCACATGCAGCATAGAAATTCTTGACTCAAGACACCCTTAACATGTTCACAGTCATAACCCATTAAGGTATCATCAGCTACCAGCACCTTCTAATTAAGTGGCTCCATAGCAGGAAATAGCTGGCTAAAGTAAAGCTTAAAGTAAAGTTAAAGCAGCTCTAATAACTTCTGATAAGAGTTTGTTTATGCAAATCTCTTAAGATGAGAAACTGGCTGACTTGTTGCCTGGATAGCCTGTGAGTTGAAAAAGTGGCAAGGAGCCAGGTTTTGAGGTTACATACCACAATATTTATCATTCCTTTGTTTTTGACACTACTGGCTAGCCCAAGCATCCTATAGAAAACAACTCAGAGATAAGCGGATTAAAAACACTCTGGGATGTCTTGGAGCCCGCTTAGAGTCCTTCTGGCCACTCGTAAGAAGGAAGGGTTTCACAGTTTAAGACATCAATTATAATATACAAGTCAGTAGTTAAGCTTGACCATAAGGGATAAAATTTAACTCTCCAGATTCACATTAGAGATTGGAATGACCCAAAGAAGATTGTCACAGAGAAAAGCACTTTTATTATTCAGCGGAAAAAAATGTTGTTAAAACCGTGGTGCATTATTTCTGCAGCTTGAGTATTTTTTAAATCAAAAGTTAAACTAGTAAGAATTAAAAAGAGAAAGTAGAAGTTAGTTTCTATTAAGCTTGTCTTGGAATACATAAGTCCCTCAGATTTTGTCACCAGTAAGCCATCCTTTTTAAAAACCAAAAGTCAAAGCAATACTCATAACCAGGTCATTGTCATTAAACCTTCCTTTTGTACAAGCACAGTACTGCTATTGCCCTCCTTTCTAATTGGTAGTTGTTTCTCAGTACTGTCGTGTCTTATGCAGAACAGGGCTGATCCACAGCACTTAAATTAATAGAAGTATTTTTCTTCTCAGAGAAATGTTTATGGGAGAAGTATTGCCATAGACTCCACAGAACTCTGTGTCAGGCCTCACAAGGGGAGGCTCACATCTGGAGCAGGGCTACAGAAAAAGTAGGTTGGTAGGTTTATTGCAACCATGACAAAAAGGAAAATGCATGCTGCTACCCACATATCTGTGTGATTTCTATCTAGGATACCACACACTATATGCATCAAGCCTGTCATACTGCTTTAGGGTTCAGAGTGCACATGAAGGAGGAATCTCATGGTTTGCTGCACTGATGTTTTTTAGTGTTGCTGTTAGAAAGCATACCTTGTTTTCAGGAGCATTAAGAGCACCTGATAAAACATTGACCTTTTTACATCTGAAGGGTCATTACATGAAGATCGATATGGTTTGCAGTTTGTCTGGCAACAGATGCCTAGCTTTCCACCGTGAAGGAAGCAAACCCTGGCAACTCATGAGTAGATACATGAGATGGGAAGTCAGTGTTCGTATGGAGATGCTTCCATGGCCTGAGGAAGGATTTTTGGAATGTTTCTGCCCCCAACTCTCCTTTTTCAGTTTTAAAAGTTAAAAAGAAAGGATTGTCAGGATAATTTATATAATTAAACAGTTCTGTAGCAGCTTTTGGTAAACAAAAGTGGAGTAGGCACATATCTGTTAACCTCAAATGAATGGAAGCGCACTGGCTAGGTAATTAATTCTCTTATCACCGCCTACAGATTATTCTTTTAATAATGTCAGGCTCCGTGCATTTCCTAGCAAAATATAAAATCTCTTTTCCCCAAGGCAGACGACAATGGGAGTTTGGAGGACAGACAACTATAATCTGGAACTCTGTCCCACTCTAAAATACCTCGAAGCTGGGCATTGGTAGAGATTGCTTTGCAGAAGTGCCTACTGCTGGCAAAGAGAATGGTGATATTTTCTTTTTTGCCCTCACTATTCAAGTATTCTGTACTTCTCTCACTAGCAGGGTCGATTAAATGCTATCAATAAAAACAGCTAGGAAAGGCATGTGAGCGGACTGCAATTTGCAGCTCTGAAAAAAAAAAAAAAGGCAGCAAGAAAATTCCCTTCAGACTTACAAGGAGCACTGGCTTATATTCAGGTTGAGGATTTAAGGGTGCATGGTTTAATTTCAAAGTTCTTATTAATCATTATTAATATTCCCACTGACTATATACCAGTGAGATGTAAAAATATGCAAAAAAAATAGCTTAGTTTGATTGACTTGTGGTTTTGATTAAATAAACTGGGACACACTATAATCAGATGATGTTTCAGTAGCAGTTCCTACCAATTCTTGGAAGACATTCTCTTAAAAGAAAATCCACTGATTTCCTGTAGTGACAATCACATGTTAAGTGGCCTTCTGTAACCTCTAAAAGGCTGATGGGGAGTGCAATGAGGAAAGCATACTGTGCATGGGGAGAAAGAACTGCTGTGTAGTGGGACTTCTGTAGCTTACACAAGTGGGGAGGTAAACAAATGAAAACTTCCTCTTTTTCTTCAGTGCATCACAGGGTGGGTGGGACAATAAAAATAACCTCAATTAAGTTTTCATTCTTCTTGTTTGTTAAAAGTGTTTTTAGCACTCACCTTCCCAGTTTTACAAGAGTGCTCCCTTGGATTTACTGGTGCTGCTCCCTGTTGTTATGAGAGTGGAATAATTGGCATCCAGTTCAGGTCTAACTGATGACAAGCCTTAGAAGATTCACAGGTGACAGAAGAACTTAGAAAATAGATCTCCCTCCTCTTTCTGTGGTTGATAGCTTTTTGAGCAAGAGTCAATACTTTTTATTTTCAAAGTCCATTTTGATTTAGATGTCATGGAGAGAACACACACATCTTTTCTGTCGTTCATTTATTTTAATATACAGCTCAATCTGGAGGGTCTGATAAATTCTGTAGAAAAAAAAGTCTTTGTGAATGTTTCTCATGAAAGATGCTTGGTAGAATGCTGAAGTTTGTATGCATTTGAATTCAAGTTCTAAGGTACTGCTTCCTCAGATGGCATAAATCAGCTTAAGTCCCACTGACTTCAAGTAAGTCAAAACTATTCTGTCATCTTCCTGACTTTATACAACTAACCTTGAAAATATCTTCAAAGTGTTTGGTAAAAGACATTACCAAGCTGTCATGAAAGCAGGCTAAATCATACTATTTAGGAATCTGGCTCACAGTTAAATGCTCTTTTTTTATCCCCTTCACCTACTACTAATGCAAAGTCTTTTCAAGGCTGTCTCTAGTTTTATGTGAGCCCTCATCAGCTAATTTACTCTGCAGTCATAAAGGTCTATGGTCAGTAATCAACTCATTTTTTCTTTCCAGGCAAAGCTAAAATCCTTTGCTGCCAAAATCATTCAGCTCCTGAAGGAATGGACTGAAACTTTCCCCTATGATTTCCAAGATGAAAAATCCATGAAAGAGTTGAAGGAGATTGCTCACAGGATCACACAATGTGATGAGGTAGGGGGGGAACGTTAAGTGGTAAAGCAATATTTGTCAGCCTTTATACATAGTTTATCGTATTATATACAAACCTTTGCTCCTGCATGCAGTATTTTCTAAATGGACTACAGCAGCCGTTGCTAAGCTGTCAGTGTAACTGCAGGACACAGGCTGAGCAATGAAGTTAATAGTCCATTAGCAGAAACTGTCTATGTATAATCAACAAGTGTAAGAGGAAGAGACAAAACAGTCATCATGACAGGAAAAAATGGATGTGGTGCAGAAGGAGAAAGGAAAGAACAGTGACTACAATGGCACAATATAGTTAACTTTCATAATAATGTACTATCCCTTGTACTTTGTTACTACTCTATATATCAAGACATATCAACTAATTGTATCAGATGTACTCCTGCTCAAGGTGAAGATGCTTATTATTTAATAGTTTATTCCTAGCTCCTGACAATAATCAGCAACTGTTTTGTTGCTGTGTTTTAGGTGACATGCATACTATATCCACAAAGTACATTATATATTCGAGCTTTGCTAGATAGTTGATCACCAGTCTTAACTGATCTGAGTTTCTAGCCTATGAAGAAAACTAGACCTCACAAAAGACTTTTGTAAAGCAAACAGATACAGCAAATTTAAATAGAACAAGGGCTGTTAATTTTCTGGGTTTTTCTGTTGGTTATCATTTTTATTGGGTGATTTTTTTTTTTCCTAAACACTCACAAAACCTACACTTTTCTCATTAGAAAGTAACTAAGTCCCAATAGACAGAAGGAAGGATATAATCAAGGACTGCAAGGGAATTAATTGTAAAGTGTTTGTATGAACGTGAAGACTTACTTATACAGAAGTAGAAGCTTCTCCTTGTTTATAAACCCAGAACTTCAAGATATTTTTGAGAACGATTAGCAGGAAATGGGAAGACAATTGTATTATGTTGTTTTGTTGATTCAAGTACAGAGAAAATGAAGAACAACAGGTTGACAGCACTGCATGAATCAGTGATAGGACACAATACAATTAGGTGTTACCAAGTTGTCAAAAGGAAGTATGTCAGTTTTGTTGCATCAGCAAAGCTGTTTACCTGGAGCGCCTTAGTAGGAGGGAAAAAGCAAACAGGATTATAACATGCCTTCTGTTCCCTTTGTAGACAAGGGCAAGGAGGTGTGTGTTGGCAGAGGTACTACTGTGAAAGGGGACCTGGCAGAGGTTTTATTTATCATCTGTATCTTAGTATTTAATTTGTCTGTTACTTTGAACTAGAAGGTAGTTGCAGCTTTTTTTTTTTCTTCACCTTTGCTCCCACTGTGTTATGTATGCATAAATTGTCATTTAAGTAAAACACATCTTCATGGAGTGGCTCAGTGTTCTGGTGTCTGAGGCATCTGATGACATCCATTAATTACAGCATCACCACATTTATCCCCTTAAAAAGGCTACAAGTCAAGTTTGATCAGTGAAGAGCTATGCCACATCTGACTCCTAGGAAACATAGTTTGATACTGACAAAAAGCAGCTCCTTCTCTCAGTATTTGTTACCACAAGAAATTACCCATGCTGTACTTCAGCAAGGGATTATGGTAATGGTTTGGGGGTTTACTTTGTATTTTATAGCTTTTCCAAATCCCTCCCGGACACTATTCTCCATTCATGGGATAGAAATTTAATTAAGAACTCACACAAAATGGTCAGGTGCTTATCCTAGCAATATCAGACAGAATACCAAATAACCATAGCTACAGCCAGGGTTGCACCCCAAATGAAGTAAAAATGTTTTGTTTTAACCCCAACAAGGACAAATTATTGTACACTCATTGACTTATTTTCCAAAGTTGTAAGAAAATTTAGGGTAAGACTAGTGATGAAATGAAACTGCTAAAACTCTAAGGGCATTTAAGTATTAAGGCGCTAATAAATTCACTATAGGTTAAGTAAGCCACAGTTTTTCATGTCATAGTTCTTTGTTCACTTTCACATAATATCTGCGATGCTCTCAACTGCCTTCAAGTTTGATTCTCTGTGATCCATATCTAGAAAGTCTGCTTCCTTCCAGATACATGGGTAAGGCAGGCAGAGCATCTGAAGTCAAATGATCTACAATAGAAAGCTCAGCATACAGAAAGCAGAATTAGCATGTCGTATGTGTCCCCCCCCCCGCTCCCTTGGCATTTCTGAACACTTGTAGCACAATATCAGAAATGGCTCTAGCCAGCTGCTCTTCAGCCCAGTAATCCAGTTGCCTCAAGACGAGCTACACTGCCTTCAGCTTTTCATTTGATTTCACTTGGGAGTCAGATTATTGCCTTGTAAAGCAATGTTCTGACATATTATTGCTTAATTATATCATGCCATATACAAGTATTTGGTAGTCGTCGTCTCTCACATCTGCTATGTAATTTCAGTCATCACTGCACATTAGTGGCTTCTTTGAATGATCACAGATTCATTGCAGTTCTTTCTAGTGTATCTAGTTGATTGGCAGAAACCAACATAGCAGATTGTAAATGAATGGTTAACCTTGTGGCTAACTTCAAAAGAAGTTATTTGCATGACAGCAAGAAAACAATTGTGTAGGGGACATGAGGAGGACTGTCTTGGGTGGAATTAGTTTTCCAGCAGGAGGAAGAACAGGGTCAGTAAACCTGGTCATTTAAAGCAGTAACAGGAGGGATGGAGGACTAGGAAAGCAATCAAGTTAGGTCTTTGGGGTTGATCTCATCAAGAAATGCCTATAGAACATAAACAATCAATGGCAGAAAGAATTCACCTTCCCTTAGTTGTCAAGACACTGAGTGGATGGATTATATTTCTGTGGCTTTACCAGTATGTATCCTTACAGATCTTATGTTTAAAATCTGCATCTGATGAACAGAAACGCATTTCAGTTGTCCAAGAACATGATGTATATTGTGCTCTTACCTAAATCTTTGGATGCTATAGTTGTTCAAAGCCAAGCCAGGGTATTTAGGGGTATATTTGCGGACACAATGTGAATTCCCTGTATTCTGCCTGGGCTAGACAGACTTGACCACCAGTGGGTCTGATCAGAATGAGAAAGAGCTTTTTGGCACTTAGTACATAGGGGATCCAAGAAGCCTTGTGCAAGCAACGCAACCACCTTTCACTATATCCACTTTTAAGCTGTTTATATGGATGCCTTTGAAATGGGGTACTAGCCAAAAACTGCCACGAGGAGCAGACCAGCCAAGCAAGCGAAACAGAGTTGGGAAGGCAGGGAGGCGTAACACTGTTGTTATGAAGTTGTGTGGACAGTTATACCAAGTTGCTTTGTCACAGGATGATTGGCTCAGATAAGATTCAAGGAAATGGATAATAAGCATTTTTTTTTTCCCAGTCAGAAATGCTTTGGCTATCTGCAAGAACTAAATATTTATATCAGCCATTGTTTCTGCCTTTTGCTTAGGAAAACGGAACAGTGAAAAAGATCATTAGCCAAATGACGCAGAATCTCCTAATGGCCCTCTCCACACGGAGCCAGTACCAGGAAATCAGGGAGAAATTTCGGCAACCTGTTACTGACAAAGGCACCATCCTCAAAACCAAGCCACAGTCAACTCAAAAGGACATCCTGAGTGTGTGCTGTGACCCTCTGATCTTGGCACAGCAGCTGACCTATATTGAACTGGTGAGTGATTTGTGTGAATTATTTTATATTCTATTTACTAAATATTACTATACTCATCAATATGAATTTTGCCATGTCTTCACTAAAAGCCTCCAACGTTTTAATCAAAAATTACGAAGTAAGGAATAAGACCAATTAGGTACACCGATAAAAGCCTCACACATCTACACTGTAGGAAGATGAAAGTTACCAAAAAGTTCTCCTAACCTTGGCTTTACTGATGAATTTTTTACTGAACTCCCTGTTTGTCTGTACAGTGACAATCTCTCATCTCTCCAAACACAGGAAAGGGTGAGCAACATTTACCCAGAGGATTTGATGCAGATTGTCAGCCACATGGACTCCCTGGATAATCACAAGGTACAAGAAGGGATACAGAGAGAAAAAGAGACAAAGAATAACCAGGGTGAAGAACTTCCATAATTTGAGTATACCCTGTGCAAGGAAGATTGACATTTTCTAGTCTTCTTTAAGCTCATGCCTTAAAATACCCAACAAGATTTTATCAAGACATGAAAAGGAAGTTTATCCTTTGGTATGTTGACTTTATCATGACACAGGATAGGATTAACATGGGGCCTATTCTCTTGCAGTGCCGAGGTGACGTGACCAAAACCTATAATTTGGAGGCCTATGACAATTGGTTCAATTGTCTCAGCATGCTGGTGGCTACAGAGATTTGTCGGGTAGGTATTCATAGAAAACAAGATAGCAAAGTGATACTGACCTTAAGCAAAAGGGAGACAGTGGTCTAATAGAGATTTAAACATTAGCAGTGCAATTAAAGATAATGGCATTACTCAAGCATTAATTTATTTGCATGGTTATATGATTAAAAGTTCATGGCTATGTTTGGCTTTGCACATATTCTCTATTTTGTGTAGCTTCCATAGTAGAGTTAGTCATGCAGTGAAATGGAACTTGTGTGTAGGATTGAGTTAGGATTTTGGATTTGGGTTGGTTTTGGTTTTTTTTCTTTTTTTTTTAAAAAAAAAATCCATAAATTCTCAAAGATACTCATCGTTAAATGCAGATTTCCAATAAACAGCTGTCCTTCTGCTGCATTTAGATATCAATATCATTAGCATTGTCATATATTCATTTTTATTGTGGAAAAATCAGGAATAAACTTTCTTCAGAAATCTGTAAAGAAAGTGGGCTATTGGAAAGGTTAAAAAAAAAAAAGGCTTAACAGTAACTTCTATCATATAATAAG